GGCTGTCCCATGCGTCGCGGCATGGCCCTGTCACCAGCTGTAGCATGATGTCCAAGGGGTGCAGCTTTGAAAAATGGAAATGTCACCTTGGGGGGGGGGTCTCAATGTGGCCCATTTAATAATAATAATAATAATAATAAATAATAATAATTGCACCAATTAAGGATATGCAAATATAAGGAAGCTCTATGGAGTCCTCAGTGCTCTCAATGTGGCCCATTTAATAATAATAATAATAATAATAAATAATAATAATTGCACCAATTAAGGATATGCAAATATAAGGAAGCTCTATGGAGTCCTCAGTGCTCTCAATGTGGCCCATTTAATAATAATAATAATAATAATAATAATTGCACCAATTAAGGATCGGCGGCCCCGGCGAGGCCCCATGGCTGGGGGCTCACCCGCCCGAGCGGGCGGCGCCCTGCTGGGGCGGCGCGGGCCCTTGTCTCAGACCTTCCCAGAGGCGAGGGCGGGTGACGTGCACCCCGTGAGTGGCCTCACCGGCGAGCTTCCCCCGGACCGTTGTAACTTGCCAGTTCACTCCTATATCAAGCTCCGCCAAGCTGCAGCATTGCAGGCTAGGGTGAATCTTTTTCCCGCCTCCGCTCTGGGCTTCCGCACCTTTACGACTCTGCCCGTGCCGCACAGCTCGCCCCGGGTGCACGCGAGCCGCACACGGAGCCACAATCACCCGAACGCTGCCCTCCCAGCAAGCCTCGCGCCGGGCATGCAAATTAGGGGGCGAAGCTTCGGCGTTCGCGCCAATCCGCGCATGCCCCTTGCGGGGTGGGGGGGGTGGGGGAGTCTTATGCGAATAAAAGGGCGGGGCCAGAAGCACTCGAACCTCCCCCTGCTTCCTGGTTCCTTGGCGCGCAGTTGCAGAGGTGCAAGGGGGTGGGGGGTGCGATGGGGGTGATGAGCCCTTCCCCCCAGGGTGCAGGGGGCTATGGGGTGCTGCAGGCAGAGGGGGGTGGGGGTGCAGCACCCACCCTGCACACATTCAGTTTCTCCTGGGAGAGTCACTGGGACAGCGGGGGTTGCACCACTCCCAGGAGAGTTTCTCCTGGGAGAGCGAATGTCTGTCCCTTCCCACTTGTGCCCGTCCAGGGATGGGCCGCAAGCGGGCGGCGCCGGAGGCGGGCGACGCGGACCCGGAGCTGCGCTGGGAGTGGCAGGATGCTGCGGGCACTTGGCACCAGTACTCCCCGGAGCAGAGCAGGGTGCTCAGCCAGGCAGCCAGGTCAGTGCCGGGGAGGGGGCGGGCGGGCGGTGCCGCCTGGGGCAGGTGGCTCTGACCTGGGCCTGCACCTCTTGCAGGGCAGGGAAGCCCAGCACGGAGGTCGGGGCCTGCGTGGACCTGAGAAGGATGGTGCAAAACGACACGCAGACGGGGCAGGACAGACCCGTGGCAGCTGCCGTCCGGGACCAGGACTCCTGTGAGCGACTTGGGGGCTCCTGGCCATGCTGGATACTGGGGTCCCAGCCTCCCATTCCCAGGGGACTGGTGCACTTGCCTGGCAGGGGAAATACCCTGATGGAGGCATTACGATGAAAATGGCAGGGTGTAGCAGAGGGGGCACCCTTGTCTGCTTGCTTGCGGGCAGGACTCCCTACGAGAGCCTCGTAGTTAGCGTCCCGCTGGCCAGATCCAGTGGGAGGATCTCGGCTACACGCCGACTTCATGGAAATGGGAGACTCCTCCCTAGCTTGCTCCTGCAGCCGTACGGCTCAGGGCAAGCAAACTCGGGGGCATCCGAGCCCCACGCCTCCAGGCTTGCATCTGCACATAGGATGCCCAACAGAAGATTTGGAAATATCTGAAGTCCCAGGCTGAAAAGTTTGGGGTGGAGGATACTTGGCTTTTGAACGGTTCAATAGGGCTGATCTGGCTAGTTTGACCTGATACGTGAAAAATTTTAGTAAAATTTAAAAAAGGTTGGCGTGGGGCAAGATGCCAACCCTCTGTTGGCATCTTGCGCACCTGAGTCCTGCTCCTTGTCTGGGTCTTCCCCTCTGGGGCTACAGGCTGCAGAGCTGCCGCGGGTGAAAACCTGCTGCACGCCTGGGTCCTATTCCCACCCCTGTCCCCTGGCCATGCAAGGGCCACTGAGTGACGGCACGTGTCTCCTGTGTGTCTCAGACTTCATCTGGCAGTGGCAGGGCGATGGGGAGGAGGACTGGCTCCCCTACCCTGTTGACACCTGCTTAGCTCTGGAGCGGGTGCGACGTGGGGAGGGGGGGCCAACCTTGCAGATGACTGTTGGCCGGACCCGCTACACGCTGGACCCAGCCCAGATGACCCAGACCAACTCGAGAACCAGGTATCAACGCAAGATGGACCGCAGGGAGTCAGGTACGAGGGGAGGCCGGATGATGAAACCTAGAGAAGCAGGGCTGGAAGGGGTCACCTAGTACTGTCCCCCAGAACGATGGGATCATCCCTATCCAAACCATCCTAAACAAATCCACTGTCTAACCCACGGGTCTGCAGAGCCTTGTAATCTGGCCTGTGGGTCTCCTCATGGGTCCAGAAATTTGGCGGTGGGGGAGCAGTGGCAATTGCCACTGCTGCCCCAGAGCCAAATTTCTAAGCTCCATGTGGCTGGATTGGCCTTGCCAGGGCTGGCCCCGCATGGAGGGATTGCACCTCATTCCTACGCAGCTGGATTGAGCTGAGGTCTATCCAGCTGCATGGGTGGTCCATTCCTTGACACGTTCAGCTGTTCCTGCACAGCCGTGTTGGACCTCAGCCCCGTGCAGCGGCATCAGCCCTGGCTGGGCCATTTCTGCACAGCTGGATTGGGCCTTGGATGGGGCAGCATCACTCACTGGATCAGGCTTGTGGACAAGCCTGGCACCATTCAGCCAGCCCACAGGCTGAATCATTTTGGTACTGCTGATCTAACCTGTTAGCAAAACTACAGAGTCAATCCTGACAGGCACAGGTGATGAACACCCCACCTGCCACAGGTAAAGCAGGGGGACAATGGCAGCCAATGTCCTGCTGCTACGAGGGTTGCTAAAACACATTTGAGAGATCCCAGGAAAAAGCCATGCCCCTCTCCCCCTTCTACAGGGGAAAGCAAACACCCCAAGCTCTGGAAGGGGCATGCAGTCTAGTGGTTAGAGAGACAGATCCAGACTAGAATGATTCTTCCAGGGCCCAGCCCAGTTGGGCAGGTCTGGTCTGACTGGTTTCAGGAGTCCTGGGCAAGATCATCTTTGCTGCTGAGAAGAAATTCACCGCAGATTCAATGCTGCTCAGGTAGCTGGAGTCCTCTGAGAGGAGGATCTGAGTCTCCAGAGTGTCAGGATGACCACTGCCCAGCAATGCCATGCAAGCATCAGGTGTCTTCACTGGGGTGGGACAGCTCAGGGTGTCCAGTGCTGAGATGCAGCCACTTCTAGGGAGGGCACCATCCCCTCCACACTCTAATGCATGCTCTGTGCCCTCTCTCCATAGATGCAGTGGTTGATAGTAAGGAATCTCAAGCGAGCTACACTCCCAGCTCCACAGCCCTCCAAGAGGCTCAAGCACTGAAGAGGTCCCGGAGTGGGGGGTCCCTCCCAGACCTAGTAGCTAAAGAAGTCAGTGGGGGAGAGGGCAAAGGTGAGAGCTTCAGTCCATCAGGACCATCTGGTCTGACTTCTCAAAAGGCAGAAAATCCTCCCCAGTTCCCTGCCAGACTTGGCTTTGACATGTTATGGCATTCTCTGTTAAGTAAAGTAGAGTCTTGAGTACGGAAACCCTCACAGGGACAAAACATGCAGTACTCAAGTCTTCTTCTTTTTTTGGTAAACCAAACAGACCCAGTGCTGTTTTTTGCGGTCAGGCATTTCCTCCAGACTTTGAATCAGTTTTGCATAATTCTTATCTGTATTGCTTCCAGTTTTCTTACCTCATTTTAAATAGATGTGTGCAAGAAGCCAGGAGTGTGGACAAAGATAGAATCCTCTCCCTAGTCCGGTTTGCTCTGTCTGCATTTAAAGATCAGCGTGGTCTTGGCTGTAGACAATCGCACTGTGCTGGGAACTCGTACTGGGTTTTTGCCTGCTCTTAGCCCACATCTTTCTCAGAGCCATTGCTTTCCCCCTCCAGTATCCGTGTGCTTGGCTGCTAAAAGCCTGACTGTGCTGTATTAAAAAGGCAAAGATCTGACAAAGCATTTGAAAGCTTGTCTACCTTTATCCCAACTACATAATTGGTCCAGTAAAGCAGTTCACCCTAAAAATCCTTGCATGATGTCACATAACATCAATCTTAGATTATTGCATAAAAACACGGACCACCTTCCCAGCAATACCCACCTAGCCACCATGGATGTTACCAGCTTATATACCTACATCAGGATGGCATCCAAGCTTGCCTTGCATATCTACAAGAGCAGGATTACAACTCGGAGTACAGATCTAAAGTTATTAGTGAACTTGCACACTTCATCCTCATGCACAGCAGCTTCACTTCCAGTAATCAACACTTCCTCCAGACCATGGGCAGAGCTCACACCTATTGTCTCCCTTTCCCTCTGATCCTCGCTGCTACGTATTTGCATTTTCACAGACCTGCATTTTGCATCTTAGCTTCTCTTCCATCCAGGAGAACACACAACACCAGCAGACTCTCCCTATGCCTGAAGAAAGGTGTTTGTGCCCCATAAGCTTGCAAAAAAAACAAGTTTTCCCAACTATGTAGTTGGTCTAATAAAAGATGCTGCATTTACCCAGAGAACCTTGACTGCATAAAAAATGTATTTTGGTAGATCGGGCCTAGCTAATCAGGTGATCCAAGCCACTCTGTCCAGTGGTCTAATCCTCATGAACCGTTCCTTGGGCCAGTTGAAAACTCTGTTGACCAGTGATTCTGCATTTCCTTTTTGATCACCCATGGAAATACCAAATACTGTTGTTTGTACCCCTGGTCTGCAGGAAACCCCGCTAAGAAACACTCCTGTT